CAAAATCATCTCGGGTTTGAGATGAAGCCCCGGCCCGTCCCTTACCTTTCTGCAAGCTTGGATGATTCCTCGCAATCTCCTTTGTTCGGTTGCGGCGGAGGTTACCCATATCTACTGAAGCTCTACCACGTTCCATCTTAAAAATATAACAAATATTAAATTCGAAGTACAATTAAACTAGTGAATTTCAAATACAAATCTAACAAATCGAACTACAATGTAACAATTAAATTCGAACAATTAAATTGACTAGAATGTAACAATTAAAATGTACCAATTAAATTAACTTTTATTATAAAATTTGAACAACTTCAATATAAATAACAATTAACTAGTTCAATAGGAGAAATTTTAACTAGACATTAAATGTAACAATGCAATGAAATTTAGAGGAGAATAATAAATGTAACAATGAATTAACTATTTTGATAGGAGAAATTTAACTACTTTTATATTAAGTGTATAAGTAGATAAAGTAAATATATATATTTAAAAGTAGATAATAAGTAGATTAACTAGTAATATATAATATTATGTTTATAGTATATATAATATAAATATATGACTATAAGATGAGGAATACACTTAATATATTAAGTAGATAAATTTTCGAACAACTATAATATAATTAACAATTAACTAGTTTGATAGGAGAATAATAAATGTAACAATTAACTAGTATTAGAGGAGATTAAGAAATGTAACAATTAACTAGTTTAACAAGTAAACAATTAATTTCGAATTCTTGTCTAACAAATTTTAATGTAACTATTTCCAATAAACTAACAACTACCAATTAACCACTTATATAGCAATGAACTAATACTAAAAGTCTAAAATGATAAGTGAAACAATTAACAACTTTTATATTAATGAAGAATGTATTAGTGTGTAAACAAAATTAATGGGAATGTTTGATAGGAGAATAATAAATGTAACAATTAACTAGTATTAGAGGAGATTAAGAAATGTAACAATTAACTAGTTTAACAAGTAAACAATTAATTTCGAATTCTTGTCTAACAAATTTTAATGTAACTATTTCCAATAAACTAACAACTACCAATTAACCACTTATATAGCAATGAACTAATACTAAAAGTCTAAAATGATAAGTGAAACAATTAACAACTTTTATATTAATGAAGAATGTATTAGTGTGTAAACAAAATTAATGGGAATGTTTGATAGGAGAATAATAAATGTAACAATTAACTAGTATTAGAGGAGATTAAGAAATGTAACAATTAACTAGTTTAACAAGTAAACAATTAATTTCGAATTCTTGTCTAACAATTTTTAATGTAACTATTTCCAATAAACTAACAACTACCAATTAACCACTTTTATAGCAATGAACTAATACTAAAAGTCTAAAATGATAAGTGAAACAATTAACAACTTTTATATTAATGAAGAATGTATTAGTGTGTAAACAAAATTAATAAGTAGATAATATTATGTTGATAGTATATATAATATAAGATGACTAACAAGATGACTAACACACTTATATATGTAGTAAATATATATTTATAAGTAGATAATAAGTAGATAATATTATGTTAATATTACTACAAGATGACTAACACACTTATATATTATACTTTAATATATAAGTATATTACTATAAGTTGAGTAATACACTTATATATTATACTTTAATATATGTATAACTAATATAAGTATATATTAAGTATATGTAATATGTGAATATAAGTAAATAAATATACTTATATAAGTAACAATAATATAATAATTAGATATTAATATAAGTAGATAATAAATTATATAAATATAATATATGTAGTAATAAATTTGAGAAATTGAGAAGATGAAGATGGGAAAGATTAATAGAGAATAGAGATTAGAGATTTAGAGAGTAGAGATATTTGGAGAAGATGTGTAGTAAAGTGTATAGAAAAAATGGAGTATTTATAGATATTTAGTACCCCACCCCCACCCCCCCACCCCCCCCACCCCCCACCCCCCAACCCGGGACCCCCTGGAAGGCTCCCAACGGCTATAGAGCCGTTTGGGTTGAAAGCCAACGGCCATAAGGCCTGTTTGGCTGAAAAACAAAATTTTTTTTTTTTTTTAAAAAAGTAACCGTTAGGCCCGACCCGGGCCCGAACCGGCCGGGCCGGGCCACCAAACAAATGAACCGGACCCGAACCGCCAAACCCCCCCGGGCCGGGTCAAAGCCCGAACCGGTTCACCAGTCCCGGTTCCGGGCCGGGCCTGCACAGTGACGGGCCGGGCCGGTTCCGGGCCGGGCCGGCCCGGTTGAGTCCATCCCTAGTTGGAGATGACATGTATTGACTCACTACACTCACAGAATAAGCAATATCTGGACGAGTGACTGCGAGATAATTAAGCTTTCCAACCAGTCTTCTATATCTGTCTGGGTCTTCAAACGGTGTGCCTTCTTGAGTGAGTTGCACGTTGGGAACCATGGGTGTTGTACTTGGTTTTGCCCCTAATTTCCCTGTCTCAGCTAGTAAGTCAAGTACATATTTACGTTGAGATAGAAATATGCCTTTCTTACTTCGTGTTACCTCAATTCCCAGAAAGTATTTCAAAGAGCCAAGATCTTTCGTCTGGAATTGACTATGCAGAAAATTCTTAAGGGCCAAAATACCTGCATTATCACTCCCTGTAATCACAATATCATCAACATACACCACAAGCAATGTGACACCTGATTCTGTTTGTTTGTAAAAGACAGAGTGATCTGATTTGCCTTTTATCATTCCAAATTGTTCAATTGATTGACTGAATTTACCAAACCATGCACGAGGACTCTGTTTCAGACCATAAAGAGATTTGCGAATAGACTAGGATTACTGGTCATATGATCTGTGGCACCTGAGTCAATGACCCATTTCGAGGCTGATGAAACAAGACATGTGTTTGAAATACCTGAATTTGTGGTTGTCAAGATAGGGACAGATGAATGCTTTAGAGATTCTTGGTAGCAAATAAATTTGGCATACTCGTCCGAAGAAATAGCAATTGATCCATCAGATGAACTGGTAGCGGAAGCGATATGAGGAAGCTGATTTCCTTGATTTTTGAACAGCAATTTTCTACATTCTTTGAGTAGGTGCCCGGGCTTCTTGCAGTAATTGCAAATTACTCCTCTGTCAAACTGACCCGCACAAAACATTTCTTTCTTTCCTTTTTTTTTAATTTTTTTTTCTTTTTTTCTTTTTGGTTAAAATAAAATTGAGATATTCATTAAACAAATAAAAAGAGCTGAACTTACGGCAACTTTCCTGTTTGTGGGCTTAGGAGAATAAAATACGCAGCTTGGGCTTTGACCGACTCCAAACTTAAATCCAAAGCACATGCGCAGATCTGATGCGAGACCCAGCGAGCGATCAGTGAAGGAGCGGATGTCTGGAGATAATGCGAGACCCAGCGAGGCGCGACCAACGACTACAATGTGCGTCTGTCCCTGGAAACTTTCGATGCCAGAAATATGAGAGGTGCAGTGGCGGAAACAACTTGTTTCAGAATTTGGCAGAGGCAGGGCGATCTGGTGGGGGGCAGAGGGCAAGATTCTGTATTGCCCGAAGATGAGTTTTCAATCTCGTTTGACGGCTTCTGAAATCGGAGGTTCTGGGAAAATTTCTGGGAAGAGTCTCAGAAGAGAGGTTCTGGAAAAATGCCTTGCTACTGTGAATTTTGGACGAAGGCTCTGAGTTTGGGACTAAGGTTCTGATTGTTTTTTTTTCTTTTTGTCTGGACTGTACCAAGGTTCTAAAAGGTTCTGAAGAATCTGAAAAAAAAAATGAAATTCCTGAAGAAAGAATTTTGAAACAGGTTCTGGGAAGAGGAGGTTCTGAAGATTTTGGAGACAGAGAGTGCTGCCTCGAGGTTCTGAAGATTTTGGACTGAAATCTATTTCTAGGAGAAAGAACACAGTCTGAAAACTAAACTAAGATAACAAACTAAACTCAAATCTGAAAAGAAAACTAAACTGGAATGGAACGCTCTGATACCATGTTGAAACTTGAAATATAAACTAGAATGATATTAAAGATGGAGAGAAGAATTTTCTGTATATTTCATTGAAAGGTAAAGCCCTATAAATATAGATTACAAAGATAGAATATTCCTATAAAAGATGCTATTCAATAATACTATATATGGTATATTCCTAATATATTCTAAAGCATATTCTAAAGTATATTCTAATATACTTTCACAATCATCATTACGCCAGTGCCACAAAAGCTCCCACTTACGGTGGGGTAATGGGGGTTGGATGTACGCACTCTTACCCCTATACTAAAGCACAGAGAGACTGTTTCCGGATGACCCATGTGAAAATCGCGTTGAAAATTGCATGAGCTGACCGGGGGGGCTACATAATAAAGAAGCGCAGACAGTTTAATGAGTCATTTTGCTTTAGTCCATCATATTCACAAGCCAAAAAATAGAGAAACTCAGATATATTTTCTAATGTTTGGATTTAACTCGGCAAGTACAAAGGAAAATAAAACATGATTATATACTTTAATTATTTTGACATAATATTAGATTGCTCCGTACTTATGTGATACATACAAGGAAAAATTTTCGAAATAGGAGTAAAAACGTTTTAGAATTCCAAAATAGGACTGTCATGTTTTTATTTCCTAAATAGGAGTAATTATCATCAAACTTGGAAAATAAAGCCATGTTTAAAGCCTGGTTATGCTAAAAGCATGAGAATCCCATTTTGGAATTCACAAACATTTTTATTCCTATTTAGGGCAATTTCTTTACAAACAAATAAATGCAAATGAATTCTCTTAAAATGGTCTACTTTCCAAAATATTTTAGTTACCCCAAATTTCTCCTCTATACGTTCCCCCTTCATTGTTTTCCCTAGCATTTTGTGTGTTTTAAATAAAGCAAAAGGGTCTGTTTGCACGCGAGACCAAATGTTTGGCATGTATTTGCTCCATTGACCTACATATATTTAATCATTCGTGTTTTTTTGTGTGTAGATGGACAATTCATTGCTACGGTTTCACACGATAGGACAATCAAGCTATGGTCTAGCAAAAGCAATGAAAAAGAGAAGGCGATGGATATTGACTACTAATTTAGTAAATTTTGCAGAGATGTATTGGAAGTCATTGAATTTGTCAATGACTGTTGAGAAAAAGAATTTTTAAATGTATCGCACCCACTTTAACCCTTCATGAGCTATAACGCCCCGATTTGGGTCCTGCTTGGTCGTCACCCTAAGATAAGGACGGTGAGGAAAGTGGTGGTGGTGGCCGGTGGGGAGCAGGATGCGGGGTTCGAATTCAATAATTAGCATTTGTTGTACAATTGATCTTCTTGTGGATTATGGCTTGGTAATTGAAGAATGCAGCAGTGACCACACAACATCATCTAAGGCTTAAAAGAATGCGCAGAGATTGGAAATGCTTGGATTTGATTAATTAGGAGTTTAAACGTGTGCTCCGCAATGCTACTCCGACATTATTTTTGTTATTAGTATTGAGTTTTTGGCACGCTAAATTGAAAGTGGGCAAACTAATATCTTGAGGTTCAAAATTTAGGATGTGTTCTGTGTCGACGAAGTTTTGCAATGAATGGAATAGAATCATGTTTGTACTAGGCATGGACCGTGCCCGGACCGGTCCAAACCAGAACAATTTTTTTGGGTTAAGGCCCGGTACTGGCCCGGGATTCTATCGGAACCGGTCCAGGCCGGGTCAATTTTTTGCTTTTCTAATTTATTCCCACCCCCCACCCTCCCAAAACACCCAGCCCAACCCCCCTAGCATAGGCCCAACCCCCCCCCCCCCCCCCCCCCCCAACCCCCAAAAAAAAGGCATGGATTGGTCCCGGACCGGCCGGTTCCCTTTTTTCATGACCCGTAGCCCGCCTCTAAAACCCACTGGTTCGGGCCTAGTGGACCGGTCCTGGTCCCGGTTGGCGGGCTGGGCCAGTCGAACCGGTCCATGCCTAGTTTGTACTGATGATGCTAATTTTAAAATTTTGTTTATAAAAAGTTTAGGTTACAAAATAGCAAAAAATCAATACGTAGTAAGTGGTGACCAACTTTGAATTGAATTTTTCAGTAAACTTTAATCTTGTGCATGATATTGGTGAAATCATGAGTGTATTACAATTATGATCTCTATACATTCATAAAAATAGTTCAACCAGCAATTCTCTTCGTGCAAATATATAGGTTAAATTTAATGAGAATTATGAGACTGACGCTTGAGTTATTCCATCCAAGCTTTACAGTTTCTTAAAGAGAAGCTCGGGACAATGATCTCAATTGTCAACCACTGCACAAGATTATCACTTGTCTCAAAGCTCAATTATTTTTTTTTAAGATGCCATATATCAAGATGTGAAAACCACATGAGAATATATTAACAATATCATACTTTATTTGATTCTGTATTTATTTCCTGCATGAATTTAATGTCATGTCAAATATTTGAAATCAAATTTCCTAAGAGTCATAAACATTTTGAGGAGTTTGTCTACTGTTGTGAATATCTCCTTTTTGAGTGACCTGCGCAGTCCTCTCTAGTGCGAGGTTCTAGTTAGCGGGGTCACACCTTGGTTCTTGTTTGTGTTGGTATCTTTGAGTGCGATTTAGTATCTACTAATTAAATGCTACTTGTGTTTGACTCAATTTATGATCTAATATTGGCGTAAATGTGTCAGCCAGCCCTATATATCAAATATAAATTGGTCTGAGGTTATTTAATTATTTATCGGGTTTGCTGATCCATTAACGTCAGTATTAGGTAATAAATCGGGTCAAATCCATGTATCATTTAATCAATGAATATATTGTAAACGCCTATAAATAGGTCATCAACTCTTTGTAATTCGAACGCACTTACATTATTTTACTATACTGAATTGTTATTGCTTTTTCTCTCTAAATTATTTTCTACCAACGGTTAGAATTGGTTGATGATGATATGGGTGAGAAATTTGATCATGAAGGTAGAGGCAACACTAGTAGTAGGTGATACTAGTAGTGAGATGAGAATGACATTATCACATATGGTAGGTGACAATATACATTAGTAGGGGTAATGATATTGCTAGTGAGCACCTTCATTAATTGATAAATTTATAAGTTTTTTACTATTTTGAAAGAAAAACCGCTTATATTAATATTAATAGGATTAATATTACCACTCAAAGAGACCAACACTGATAACAACTATCCATAATCAACTAGCACTATCAACCCTACGGCTAGAATCAGAAACGATCACCACTCAAATAGCAATACGAATCGCTAACCACTCAAGGGGTGTGACACATTAATCATTGACCATATAGATTCTTCTAAAGATATAAATCTAACAGAGTTGCCAATCATTATTGTAGATCTAAAACTAAAGAAATCAACTAAAAATAGAGCAACGTAAACAAACTTAACAAGACAGTAAGATCATTACAAATAAAATAACTGATAAATACTCCAAGCTCCTTCATGTCAGTGTTCATGAAGTATTATCTTTCAAACCCTAGCACCTTGATCGATCCAGGGCGGCAGTTCAGGAGGGGGGCAGATCACCAATCTGTCTTCTCCCTTGCTGAGGACTCGATCGAGAAATTGGCCCCTTTGATCACCTCCAATCGCCTCCACCCTGAGATGAAATTCATCCAAACAAGACCCACCCAATCTAGTCGCCCCGTCCATTTGTCCTACGCGCCCATCACCGTCCCAATCGCCTCCCTCTAACAATCAAGTTGAGTGGAACAGACCAGACAATTTTCCAATCGAAGGTATCAATCACAGACCTTCAGATTCGGTCCATAGTCCCACGTCCAGAAGCATCAACCATAGATAAGCAGATCATGACGAGGCAGAGCATGGTAATGGTCGCTCTCCCACTGTCTTCAAATCATTCGCCGGACAAGAAACGACGCAAGCCATCAATCCGAAAGATGAACCATAGCAGAAAGCTAGGGAGAATACATCTCTACATTGTACATTCGGTTGTTAGTAATACATAACTAGTATTTTTTAACTTCTATTAGAAAAATGATGTTAAAAAAACATCTAAATTAAACAAAATATAACTTCATTAAATCAAATACTTTACACTTTTCTTCATAGAATAAGTATAACTTCTTTTTAGAACAAGAAGCAGGTGTTGATTGCTAGTCACTCAATGTTGCAAGGATGACAGAAGGCACGTGAGGGCATCAACAAGCAAACAACAATTGGTGAGTACGAAGGGCTTTGGAAGAAGCCGATCAGAGGAGAAATTAAAAGTAATGTGGATGCTGCTTGAATAACACAAGGGAAAAGCTTGTGAGGACAAAGTGTGCGGTAAAAGCTTGTGCTTAGTTTGTGAGGACAGTAGTAGAGGTTTTGAGAGTATTTAGTAGTAACTACCGCAGACTTTGCGGGATCAGGGTATTACATGAGTAGTTATAAAATACACAGAGACCAGACATTACCAGACCAAACCGGAAAATTTCGGTCCAAATTAAAAACACATGGAGAGCGATTCTCCACTGGTTAAGTCAACAAAGTTAGAGCATGCTGCGACTTGAAACATACACGTTGGTCGTTGTGTCGAGGATCCTACAAGAGGACGACAATTCATATTTAGATGTGGTTATTGATGATGCTACACATATTTTGCTTAATCAAGTAGGTATCGAAGCCAAGTTCTGCTGAAGGTCAGCCAATAGGGAAAAATACTAGGTGTACCCCAATATTAGCATGTGTACACACATAATTCGTTTGGAAAGACGGCGAGTCAAACTTTTGTTAAATTAATATAGTTCGAGACTTTCCTTTTAAAAAACTTCTTTTTAGAACAATAATAATTTTTTCAAATCCGAATAGCTTCTATGACAAATTCTTCTGGCTAGGGATAATTTTTTCTGACGTGTTCGAACATCATTGGATTTACTGCGTCGAAAAACAATGAACAAGTGAATCCAGCGTCAACTTCCTAACCCAAACAACACTTCTGCAGCTGCCATGGCAGTTAGGAGACGAGTTTCAAAAGAACAGTCCAGTGACGCTGCTGCCCTGGACTCCGGCGACCCCAAAAGGAGCCCTAAGTTTGACGATGAATCGAATATTACTCCTTCAAAAGCTCCATTAATGCTCTTATGCACCGCAATTTTTTCGATCCCGTACTTTTACTTGATCTTCTACCACTATCGAATAGAACCAGAGCTCCGGAGATCCATCGTAATTAATGCTATAATTAGCTTGGTCGGATACTTCTTAACCCTGGCTATCATCCCTGTAGCCTCGAAATATGTCATCAGAAGGAACTTATTCGGATATGATATCAACAAGAAGGGCACCCCTCGAGGAACCATTAAAGTGTAAAGTCATTATCTTTTATACATTTTATTGGAAACATTATCACCATTTTGAATGGATTTTATTTCTAGATAGGCGAATCATTAGACGGCTAATTGTATATTGTTCCTTTAATGCAGCATGCTCTAATTGAAATTTGTCTTGCAATATGATACGGAATAGCATTCTGAATAATGATAATAAGATTTTGTTGTTCTCTTTTGCAGGCCAGAGTCGCTGGGGATTGTTGTTGGGATTGTTTTCTTGATCGTGGCTATCTTGTTTCAGTATTTTAACTTCACAGCGGATTCAATTGTATGTAAATTCTTCTTCTTTCATTTTCCCTTTGTTTAGCAAAAAAAGTTAAAGTAGAAGAAACTGAATGATATTCCAAAATGCTTGAATGATATTCTAAAATGCCATGGAGACTGGCAAATCTTCTGAAAATAAGAACCAAAGATTTCATTTCGTTTGTGTCGTTAGTGGTGGTGGTAGTGAAGTGGACATTAATGCAAAATTGGATGTTAGTTGCTCATTACCAACAGAGACTACATGTAGTATTATTGGACAAATAACCTGTAGTTTTTTAAGTATTAGAAAATAAGAAGTGATACTTTATTGCTTTGAGAAATACCTAGTTTCTGTTCTGTATGTGATTAGCTTGTAATCAAGTATCTTGAAGAGTAGCCTTACTGGCCACAAGTTTTTTCATTTTATGTTGGAAGTTTGATTCCCACCTGATCTTTAATAGAAGATCTTCCTGCTTACCTCAACTAATGATAATCTTGTACTCTGGTTAACAAACAGCTTGCTCCATTAATACTCCTATACCGATGTATACCCCTTGGACCTTTAAAACATCATATATATCTATAATGAATGAATTGTTTGACACATTTATGTGTTTCTATAAGTCATTTTCACATTGGTGTAAAGTGAATGGTAAAACTCTAAGAAGCACAAAAGTTTCTCTTGGTTCGCGCTTTGCCATTTCGAAACACAGAAGTGTGTCAGAAACTTCAAATTTCTGTTTCCAGGCCGTTTCTGCAGTTAAGAAGAATTGGGAAACCCATTTCCCTAATTGATTAGCTTTCAAAAACTTTGGGTTTTAAATATTTTAATGGGATATTTTCAATGAAAACTAGTGTATGTGTATCGATTTTTAGTGGGTTTTTATGGGATTTCATAACAACAGTATCGTCTTTGTGATATTCCATAGCGCAATGTGTTCTGAGAAATTTATTGCATTTGCATTTATTTTTGTACGGATGTACAACAACAACAACAACAACAACATTACCCCAGTGCCGTAAAGGCTCCCACCGTAGGTGGGAAAGGGGGGTCGGATGTACGCGGCCTTACCCCTATACTAAAGCAAAGAGAGACTATTTCCGGATGATCCATTATGAAAATTTCGT